AGGAAAATAATGATTCAGTTTATAACAATTTCATTACTGCTAAAGAATTAATGCAAAAGAATACAAAACGCCTTTTACAAAAATTTAATTTTATACAATCTAACGATATAAAGAATAATATAAGCAGAAAGTAATTGTAATCAAAAAGTATTATAAAAATTGTATTTTTAATAAATAAAATAGATAGTTATTATATTAAATCTATTATTTATACTATAATGTATAATAATATAATAAATGCTTAGTAACAAGTTGTACTGACAAAAATCATCAAATAGTAAATGCTCAATAAGTTATTTTACTAAAAAAAGAAATGAAACATTACATTACAAAAAAAAATGAAAAACTTGTTTCGTTTTATAAGAATTTATACTGACAATTTTTTTAAAAGAAAGGACAAAAAAAAATCAAAAAAAATTTTTTCGTTATACTGTGAAAATTAAAATAAAAGAAGTTGTTTTGTAGAATTAACAAGCCTTATTTTCAGACTTTTCAATATTAATCAATATTAATTAATATTAATCATTGCAAAAATTTATAAAAAGAAGGCAAAAAAAGAAAAACCAAATTATTTAGTTAATCTACATTGTGAAGGTGTTGGCTTTCTGATCACCTTTTACTTCCCAAAATCAAATTACTAAAATATTTGGAAATGATCGACATGATGATTGGCTTTGAATTTTAAAAAATATTTGCTTAAAACTTCAAATGAGATTAAATTCTTTGTTTATACAATTTGACTTATCCACATTTTTTTTTGTAAAAATGCGTCACAAACATTAAGCCTGGCATTTGTAGGGCTTTTTAAGCACAGTTAACATACAAATTACGTATTTTATTGCGTAAAATTACGCATCTTATTACACATAATTACATATAAATTATGGATATTATTGCTAATTTTTGCATATTCATATAAATTTATATAAAGATTTTTATTTTATTAAAAAAATATAATTATTAAGAAAATATTTTAAAACATAATATTATATACATTATATCAGTGTTGGAAAATTGAACAATTTTAGGTAATTTTGAACAGATTTTGAACATAATTTCATATGTTCAAAATCTTGTCTAAAACTAAAAAACATCCAAAATCCATCACTGCATTATATCTTGTATAGCTTCTATTTCTATAAATTATATAATTCTTTAATTTGTAATTAAGAACATCTGTGGTAATATGGTTGACTATGTAACTCAAAGTCATACCATTGAATTAATGCCAGATTCAGTAGAGGTTTTTCTTTTTCTATTTCAATCTTTGCTATTAATAATACCTTAAATATATTAAAAATCATCAATATATATAGTATAATAAAAAAATGCATCAATATTTAAAACTAAATAAATACCTGTCCATAACAAACGCCTTAATCAGATATGTATTCAAATAATTCTTCAGAATTCATAACAACAGAAATATTACTAAACCAAGGGTTTTGATGATAACTGTTATTTGCACACATTATTGCACCATTTTCTAATGTTACTAATCTGTATATTATTATCTTCATTTAAACACTGTCTATTTCAGATATTTTAATTAGATCTAAATATGAATTCATACATACTAAAAACTGATCAAACCCAGTCTTCATTTTATCATCTATATTAGTTTCTACATTTTTTTCCTCAAAAAATAAAAATGCATTCATTAATAAAAATTCAAAGAGCATTGATGAAATTTAAATGTATGAGGAGTTATTTTCAAATTTGTTGATTGATTTTGCGAGGTTATTTTGGCGATTGATTAACATCGAATCTAATAAAATATAATCTCTTAGAAAAAACTACATAATATTGTGTATTTTATATATTAACTACTTACTATTTGCATTAATTGGATTTCAATGTTTTTTTATTACTTAATCAATAAGGGACCTTAACATATTCACGATAAAGGATTTCATAAGTCTCTGTAGTATATCCATTAATTGCGCCAAAATTTCGTATTGAATCGATCACATGATAAATCCATGAGTGTAATTTCGGAAGTTTTAGCTCAGACAAAGAAAATTGTTGAAAAATTCGGATGAAGTTCTGTGACCATTCATATATAGATTCCTAAAATGCAATAACTTTAATTAAATTACAATACAAAATAAAGAACTTGTCAAAATTTTATACATACCTCGAATTTGTTCAAATAGCTTTGCTTAAAAATTTCATATCTACTCATTTTATACATATTATTCCACTTTTCATAAAGTTTTACCAAATCTTTATTTGCAATAAAGTTTTTCACTTTTTGGTATTTTCTTTATATAAATTATCAATTACAAAAATCATTACTTTCATTAGATTACGATATCCATGATAATCTGTTATTCTTTGTTTAAGGTGTTTTGACAATAGCTTGATTGGAAGTTTGTTGTGTAATGGAAACCAATTTTCGTTTTCTTGCCTTTTTTGCGTTTGTAGTGAGGGTTTAAACGATACGATTCTTCCTTTTGAATAAAATGCGGAGGCATATCATTGGTAATGAAAGTTCTTTGAAGATGTTTGACTTTTTGTTCGCTCATTACCTTTTTTTGTCATAGTTTCAAAATCATCATTAATTTTACAGTCATGGACGGATCTTTACTATTCCATCCATGATTTCATATTGTCTCATTATTTCGATTAGAAATCTGATAATATGTGATGATTGTTGTAATCCAATATTGTTTTCTTTTCTCATACTGAAATATCCTCATATGAATGTCAAACACGCGAAGAAGTGGATCCGATACTATGCACTTCCAATTATGATAAGGGAGTTGGTTGTTCAGCAGCCGTTGTCGGCCAACCTGCAGATTTCGTTAAAGCGTCAACAAACGGATACAGGCACAGATATCACTAGATAACTTTGTTGTTGCCTAATAAAAGTGTCTGAATAGCACGTTGACTTGTTGTATTGTCTGTTGGAGCATTATAAATTTTTTTGGCGCTCGATCTGGGAAGATAGTGCTCGTTAATGATCAAGATAACTTTGAAGTGGTGAAAAATTGAAGGAAGTAGCATTATTGTTAAGAAGGAGCTTGCACACGAAACGACAAATTTCGTTGTTAGATATGAAACCGTCTGTTTGTCCCCATGCATTATTTGTTGAGTTCAGATCTCCCCATCCGCCTCCACTAAATGCCCAAGAACGCTACCAAACTGATATCTATCAAATGGTGTACTTTGCACCAAAGTCGTTCCACCAAAAGGATAAATCGCTGTTGATTATTATCCAAAAACAACTGCGCTGTACTGGTCGAAGTTAGAAGCAACCTTTGGAATGGATCAATAACCAAACGTGATGAATGATAAGGTATTTGAACCAGGTTTGGCGCAGAAAAAGGACTTTCATCATCAACTGTCGTTCATATCAAAATACCTAAAAGGTTAAACGTAGTATCTTCAACACTTTAACTAAAAGACTATGAACAAAAATCCACTCCTTATAACATTCATTCACTTCCAGACTACTAAATGTCCGTAATGATTTTATTTTAAATGAACATTATTGTGTAACCACAGCTAAAATGATTTAAAAATTTTACGCTCCTTGAGTACTACTTGTACAACCATTTATTTATACTGCTTGGGCGCCACGCTTCTTGGTCCAGCATTTATTTCTGTACCAGAAAAACGACTTGCAACCCCTTAACCAAAAATTTTATCAATGCCAATATTTGAATGTGCAGAAGAAGGTTTACTAGTTTTACTTGTTGGGGACAATTGTGTCCTAAGTTTGAATAAGTGTACGCTTCCTTCAAAACATCATCATTTTGGTCTAGGTCAAAACGATAGGTATTAATAGTGGTTGGTGATGCTGTTTTACGATGTGGACGTTGATGCTGATGCTGTTACAGTAATTCTTGTTTAATACTTTTTTTTTTATTGTTGCTGCTGCAATAAAATCTATAATTGTACTGCTTCTATTCATTTTCTTGTCTTTGTTCATTTGTAATTGTTGTTGTTGCTTCTTGTTTATATGGTTCCTTATCCTTATCTTGATGAAGCTGCAATTGTTGCAATATTAAATTTTGTTGTTCCATCGTTAATTGTTCATTTTCTCACTAATCCAAGTTCATGATCATTATAATTTTTAAGTTCCTGCTCAACGATTTTTTCGTCGTCAAATATTGCTGCTGTAACATCTGATATCTTATTCATGTCTTTGTTGCGAACGTTGAAACGACTTTTGTTGAGATTCAGTTGGGTTTTGTTGTAATGATTTAGTTTCTTGATTTGGATGACTTTGCGAACCTGTATTTTGATAAAACAATTTATTCGTTACATATCAAGTATAATTAAAATTGAATCATTGGAGAACATACGAAATACCTTTTCTCTACCAGATAAATTCGAAATATTTTTCCAACTCTTTTTCGGTGGCATAACACTAAAAATATTACCTTCAGAAAAGGGATCCAAGCTATCGCAATATTCAGCTCGGAATTTCCTCCAAGAGCAATCATCTAAAAACAACCATTTGTTTATATTTTTATATAAGATAAAAAATGTCATTATATACCTGGTACATTTCTTTAAGCTTTCGAGATATTCAATTGAATCCATGCAGGAATTCGTCCAATATTTGCTCCCTTAAATGATAGTATTTCTCATTTACACAGATTTGGGTTGGCGTTTTCGGTTTTTTTCTAGAGATTTTTTTTTTTTAAAAAAAAAATAATTAGATATAAAGAATAAATAGAATATAAAAAAAGATAAATTATAATACCTTTAAATGGCGTAAA